TAAATGAGTACCCAATCCAAATTTCATACTCAAACCCCTTTTTTGCCATTGGCGTAGAATTTTTAAAGGTGCAATTATTTAAAAAATCAAGTTCTACGCCTATGTATTATTATCGGATAAAATTTTATACGATGAAAAACATAAAAATGTACTTTTTTCATATCTTCTTCAACACCCCTAATCGAGACTTTTAACAAAAATACTCGATTCTTGCCATGTACGATTTTTTCAGGAATATTAATTATTTGCCTGCAATACGTATACAAAAACATTTATTGTTGGTTTCCATAGTTTCATCTAAATAAAAATATTGTCAAGTTTTAATACCTAATCTCTTGATAACGATTGAAAGTGTTCTATCTGACTCAATAATTAAAAAAACAAATGCGTGGTTTATTAATATGGCTGTACAATATACCAATGCAGAATATACCGATATGTTACTGACATTAGGATTTTGTGAAGGAAATGCTCGAGAGAGTGTCAAGGTGTACTCTGAAAGGTTTCCAAATCGTCGTGTACCTAGCCACCCAACTTTTGCTGCTGTTGAGAGACGTCTTCGGGAGACCGGTTCCTTTACTCCTAACACTGTTGATAATGGAGGAGAACGTTTTGTAAGGATTCCTGAAGTTAAAGAAGACATTTTAGAACGTGTTGAAGAAGATCCAGAATTAAGCACCAGACGAATTGGAAGGGAACTAGGAGTAAGTAAAGATGTCGTTCATAAAGTGCTTAGAGAACAATTGCTATATCCATACCATAAGAAGCCAGTACAAGAATTATTAGTCCATGATCCTCAAATTCGTTTGGGTTTTTGTCGATTTGTTAATATGCAAAGAGAAAGAGATCCAAACTTTGTCAAGAATGTTCTCTTTACCGATGAAGCGGGTTTTGCAAGAAGAGGTATAACTAATACCCATAATGAACATGTTTATGCCGTTGAAAATCCGCATGCAATAAAGGTAAACCATTTTCAGCACGAATTCAAAATTAATGTGTGGGCTGGAATAATTGGTAATTTCATTGTTGGTCTTGTCATACTTCCACGAAGATTAACTGGAGAAAATTATTTGGATTTTCTACAAAATACGTTGCCAGAATTGTTAGAAGATTTACCTCTCCAACTTCGGAGAGATATGTGGTTTATGCAAGATGGAGCTCCACCACATTTTTCTTTAAACGTTAGAAACCACTTGAATGAACACTATCCACACAAATGGATAGGCAGAGGTAATGACGCACCTGTAAACTGGTCACCACGTTCCCCAGACCTAACACCGATGGTTTACTTTTTATGGGGACATCTGAAATCCACAGTTTACAGGGAATATCTAGAAAATGAGGAACAACTCTGGCAACGTATTCAAGATGCAATAAACAATCTTAGAGGTGATGAAGAAGTTATGGAAAGGATACATTTTAATTTTCTTCGACGTATAAATCTTTGTATGCGTGAAAATGGTGAACATTTTAAACAATTTTTGTAAAATCTCTATTTTGATTATGTTGTAAATAAATATTTTTGTGAAACCTATACACTCTAAATTATTAAAACAGAAATTTAGCGAAAACCATGAGAGTAATCGAGTCTTATCTAGAGTACCTTTTTTAAAGTAAATGAGTTGGGCAATCTAAATTTCATACTCAAACTCCTTTTTTTCCATTGGCGTAGAATTTTTAAAGGTGCAATTATTTAAAAAATCAAGTTCTACGCCTATGTATTATTATCGGACAAAATTTTAATACCATTTTTTTTGCCACATAAAACTCTACCAATATACCAAATTTCAGCAAAATTGCATATGCCGTTTTAAATTTATGTGGGAAAAACGATTTAAAAATGTAACTTCAAGGCCCTCTGGAGCCCAAACGAAGCAACTTTGTACTAAAGTAATTTTACTTAAATCGACTTATTTTGGTCTAAGGAATATGTGGTATGTTTTAGTAAAGACCTTTTACAGACCCTGTATAGGTAGCGATGTTGCAATTTTTCACTTAGTGTCTTTTGCGTCTGTGCAGATAGCAGCATTTTTAAACCTTAACACAAGTTTCCTAAAATAATTGGGCAAAAATAAAAGAATGTATTTTGCGTTTTAACTTTCAAATACTATAAAAAATGGTGAAAAGTCCATAATTTTTAAATAATTTTTAAAAATCACTTATTAAAATATTATGCATAAAAATAAAACAAACTATAGACTTTCCACCATTCTTTACCGTACTATGAACCCATTTTTATAAACAATTTCTAAAAATATTATCGTTCAGACCTGTATTTTTTGTGATAAAAAAATCGCCTTCAGTTGCCATTGACAACGCGTTGAACTTGGACTTAACATTTAAATTGACTTTATTTGTATCTATTGCGCTTTTTCTTGAACTATTTAGTAATTACACCCTGTTACTACGACTTCGAGAAGTGGAACGAAAGACGCTAGGTAAATATTATTACTGCGGAATTTAAGCACAAGCATATGTGTGTATAAATTGGATTGGTTGCCCGCAGAATCCATTTTCAAATGGGCTGCTGCGGTTCCAGCTAATATTTGCGCTAGCGGTAAATTAACTGTATTATTTGCATGGTGGAGTGTAACTCCGTGAAGTTGAAAATAGGTGAGATGAGGTCTTAGGCGCAAGTTCGTTAAACTCATTAAAAAGAGCTCGGAAATTGAAATTTGTTACTTCTACACTGATGGGTTGTTCGTGAATAATCAAATTTTCGCTAATACTACTAATACTATAAAAAAAATCATATATATTTGGAACAAACTGATTGGTCTTTTTTATACAGTACTGTCGATCTCGATGTAATGGTGGATATGTTTTATAAACACCTTTTTAAGGCCATTGACTTATATGTTCCTAAAAGAAAAATAAAAAACCAAAAATATCCAAAATGGTATGATGGCCCTCTGAGAAAACTAATATCTGGAAAAAACAGAGCATATAATAAATTTAAAAGTACTGGATATGATTCAGACTACAAAACATATTCCGACATTCGACGTGAGGTAAAATATCGCATTGATCTATGCTACCTTACTTTTGTTAGCAATATTGAACATGTAATTCCTGAAAATGTAAAATATTTTTGGACATTTATTAATAGCCTAAAACGTACAGAACATATGCCGTCTATCATGAAATACAACAATGATACTATAAAAACACCTTCATCTATCGCTGATACTTTTGCACTACATTTTGAGTCTTGCTACAGTAACCACAGCACTCTTGACTTAAATCACTTGGAATCAGTCAAATTTGGTTCCCATCTCTCATTTCACATCTTTAAAGAAGATGAAATAAAGAAGAAAATGTTGGATCTCGATACTTCCAAAGGTTCTGGTCCAGATGGAATACCACCTATCCTTCTCAAGATGTGCCTTGCTTTATTTGCACCACTGTGCACAATTTTCCAGAGATCATTCGACAGAGGATATGTCCCGTCAGATGGAAATATTCTAACTTGGTTCCAATTTTTAAGTCCGGGGATAAATCAGACAAAAAATTATCGAGGCGTTTCTATGCTATCAGCAATTCCTAAGCTGTTGGAATCAATCTTAACAGATTAATTATTTTACACGTTTAAGAATTACATAATAGATGAGCAGCATGGCTTCTACAGAGGCCGTTCAACAACTACTAATCTGGCTATTTATCAGGAGTTTATTACCTCTTCGGTTGAAGCTGGTTACCAAGTTGATACAATTAACACCGACCTCTCTAAGGCGTTCGATAGTGTATGTCAGCAGTTAATTTTAAAGAAACTATCTGAAATTGGGATAACAGGCAATTACCTTAAGTGGATTAGATCCTATCTAATTAACTGTCGGCAGCGTGTTACAGTGAATGGTTCTGTGTCGCGGGAAGTGACAGTGTCTTCGGGTGTACCCCAGGGTTCACATATTGGCCCTATTTTATTTTTGTTATTTATAAATGATGTAGTGTCCTGTTTTAAAAATTCTCATTGTCTCTTATATGCTGACGATTTAAAATTTTTTAATATTGTGGAACCTAATTATAACGCCCTACAGTCTGATTTAGATCAATTTGTCTCTTGGTGCAGTTCTAACTATTTAGAACTAAACATATTAAAATGTAAAGTTATATTATTTTACAGACGTTCTAACCCCGTCGAAAACTCATACATTATTAATAATACTACGCTGGAGAGCGTCTCCACATTTAATGATTTAGGGGTAATATTCGACAGGGAATTATCCTTTTCTTTACATGTTGATACTATCATTCTGAGGGCGTTTAGGCTATTAGGATTCATAAAAAGAAGCACAAAGCATATACAAGACACTAAAGCAATAACATGTTTGTACAGTGGTTTGATCCGAAGTATTTTAGAGTGTTGCAGTACTCCGTCACAAGCTATTTATGTCAACCGAATTGAACTAGTTCAAAACAAATTTTGTAAATATTTGCTATTTAAGTTTCACTTTCCATATCAGGATTTATCGTATGAAACGAGACTGCTACTCTGTGGTATGCAAACTCTTGAACGGAGACGCAGGGATGCAATGTTACTTTTGCTCTACAAAATAATTAATGGAGACATTATTTGTGAAAAATTGTTATGCCAAGTAAATTTCGCTGTTCCGTTAAGGCATACTCGACAGTCACAACTATTCTTTGAGAAAACCCATCGTACAAACTATGGACAAAGAGCTTCCATGAATAGGCTTTTGTGCAACTATAATAAGTACTATTCTCACTGTGATATTTTTAATTGTACGTTATTATCTGTTAAGAGGATGCTCGAATTTTAAAATTTTAGGTTGTTTCTTGTCTTGTATGGTGTTAGACTTTGTTTTTTAGACGTTAAATGTATTTTAAAATTTCTGAAGAGTTTTGATATTTATATATTCGGTTTTTTTTTATGTATATACTTATACTTTAATTGTTGTTTTAGCTTTAAGACTGTGCCATTTTGAATTCACATTTCTGTAGTGTACTTAAGACAATAAATAAATAAATAAATAAATAAGTGCCAGGTATTTATAGTATAATATTTTAGATGTAAGTTACATGTATGTCATGAATAGGACAAAGTTGGCCACCTTCCTTTAATATTTTTTCAATGCGTTTTTGTTTCATTTTCAGTAATTTGATAAGCTCTCGTTCTTCTTTTCTCGCTTTTCTCTCTGCTATAGCTTTTATTTGTTGTGCCGTTAGCTTCGCTTTTTCCCTACACTCTATAAGTTTCTGCCGCGCGACGTCACTGCCGTTCAACATGTTGCAAGTTTTTCTGTTAAGATGTTTCGGCATGTGCCATGTACCTACAAAAATTTTCTTATGAGTAATAATAGCTAACAATTAAAAAACAAACACAGAGGAAATAAATTAAAAGAAAGGAGTACCATATGGTTCTATTGTATTATATTGCCATTCAATAACAGTATCAAAAAAAAAGTAAACTTTATAAAAGCACATCTCTACTCTGTGGACTTAGTTCTTTTTATTAAGGGAATGGATGCAACTGCAATATTCTCAAGAACTCTGTTAATAAAGTTGAACAGTGGTCTCTAACTACTGGTTTTAAATTCTCTGCTAAATAAATTAGCAGCCGACCTTTTCCGAATAAGAACGACTGATCAATATCCTTACATAAAATGTTTAGACAATGTATTTGACAGAATTATATCATGAAAAGATTGCATAACTTGTAGCAAAAAAACTCTATATAGAAAAATCTGATGTGTCCAACACACGACTTTCCTATCTAGTTATTACAGGCTTTTTCCGGTTATTTTGTACAACCTATTGCAGCACCTCTATAAATGTTTAGAGGATAAACTAAATATATACAGTTTCCACATACATCTACCTCGAAACATTTTTCTGTAGATATTCATTGAAAACGAAAATACTGAAAAATTTAAATTTAGCAATTTTCCTACAATTTTTCCTTTACGGTCCATTTTAGAAAAATCATGTATAAACAAAAATTCATCGATATCGCAAACAACTTTTAATTCAACAATTTTCATAAAAATCAGAATTTTGCACATTTTGTCAAATTTCTCGAATACGGACCATTTCAGGAAATTTTTACATAAAACCAAAAAATTATAGATAATAATAGATGTTCCGACTCTGCTCAAAATCCAATCGGCTCATTAGACGCTGGAAAAAAGCTTAAGTTTAAAATTTGGTGTTTTTATGTGTATCGGTTCATGAGTTATGCGACACACAGACACACAGACACGCAGACACACAGACACACAGACACAGACACACACAAATTTTTATTGTTTACTACTCAGCATGTTGTTCGATTCTGAAACTGTTAAATACCGTGCACATCTTAATTTCTTAATAGTTCTTAGTGCTTTCCATACTACTTCAATTTAAAATATCTACAATGAATCCGAAGAACCTTCCCATGTACTACTTATCCTGTATATACATCATCAGCAATAAAGAAAAATTACTTATTAATAAAAGCATAAAAATACTGTTACAATATTTATTGCAATAATGTTAAATACATCCAATTAAAGCATGAATTGTTAATAAAGCACAAGTGATAAGTGATCAACTTTTCGTTAGAACACAGAATCCGTCGAGTTCCCAGATTTCAGCCATGCAACGGATTATCTGAGTAATACATCCTTGGTGTGATGAGTGACACTTCTGAGATAGAGATAAAACCATTTCTAGAAATTAGACTTTACGTGTTCAAAAGTAATGGCGGTGGCAATTTCTAACCTACCTTCTTCAACTATCACACTTTCAAAATGCAACATTCAGTCAACCAGCTTCAACAAATCATACATAAAACTTGATAATCATAAATACAGGAACTATATTAAAATTTAGACGGCTCAAAAATAGAAAGGCTGTTAAAGCTACATATTTATAGACTTACGTGGCAAAAACTTGTCGATCCTTCTTTACCAAATTAGAAAAATAAATAATCTTCTTTCTTTTAAGAACAATAAATGTTTCAAATATATCCACATCACAGTTTATAGCTAAAAAATTAGTTCTCTTTCTCTGCCTCGGCACTTTTAATCTCAATGTTCCAGTTTATACATTGCGCAACTCAGATTTGTATCCCTGGCGCATGCATAATCAAATCATAAGCAGATAATACAAGTTTGGAGAACTTACCAATAAAATGTCCACCTATGGTATGATCTTTCGGTCTAGGACCTCCAGGAAGAATATATCCTCTGTTATTTGAAATGATTTCTGTTCCATTAATTCGCGTCTTGGGCATATCGCAAAAATATCTAGGAACTTCATAGTTTCCTATCATACTAGGAATAAAAGCAGTTTCAAATTGATTTGCATGATAAAGTTTCGACATTTTGGTTACTTTATAATTTACTACATTTAGAACAAAAATAGATTTTTTTTTGGGGATGTGATAAAAATATGTCAACGAAACCAAGAACAATCTTTGACGTTTGGAAAAATAAAAAAGAAAAAATGACAGTTCTTCTTCTAATTTTAGTAGAATGTCAATCAGTGTCTGTTCCCGAAATGGCCTGAAATTTTTGTGTACTTTGAAAATCTCCTGTGACTTCTCTAACAACTATGAAGGCTAGAGTCTTCATACTAACAACAAAAAACCTATTGTAGTGTTCCTAGACATCAAAGCTTCTTTACACTCTCTCAACTTACACAAGGATATATGCAACTTAATTCTTTCCCTTCTCAACGATAGAAACATATACATAAAATGGTCACAAGAGAACAAAATCCTAGGCCCTGGAGTCTCCTGCAGAGGTGTACCCCAGGGATCGCCCTTAAGCCCATTATTATTCAACATCTCATGTAACGTTTTTCAAAACCTTTCTCAAAGCATCCAAATAACTGGCTTTGCCGATGACTTCGCCTTAATATGTGCCCAAGATTTCACCGCCTTATCTAATATTTTTAATCGGCTTTCTAATATAAGCCTGACTTTTTCTCCCAGTAAATGTTCAGCCGTTTTGTTCAAAAAGGGACAAAAACAAAATCCAAAAACATTCATCCGCATCAATGACACTCTCATTAAGTGGAAACCTAACCATAGATATCTACAGTTCTAAAGAACACCTTAAATGGAACCTTTACATCGATGCAATAGCAAACAAGGCTGCAAAATCAATTAACCTAATGCGTTCTCTATGCGGAAAATGGTGGAAAAGCCACCCTTCTACTCTCTTAAACATATATAAAGCCACAGTCCTGCCCCACTTGGGATGTATATTATTAGGGAGATGTGCAAAAAGCCGAATAAAAAAAACTTGACAGACTGAAATACCAAGCTCTCAGAGTCGTTTCAGAATATCTGAAATGAACTTCTACCAATATATTGCTTTCGGATTGTGAACAGTCCCTCTCTAAGTGAGAAGAATGAATTTATCGGTATCATATGTCGGCAAAGCAATGGCCTACAAAGAAATCGGAAAAGGAAGTATCCTAGAACTTTTCACCGATTGGGCAAGAGACCCTAGTTTCTGGAGATCTAGAAACACCCTATCAATAGTCGAAGCATTCCAAAAATATTGGTTTTTCTTATCATATACATTACCTCTAGACAAACTGCCTTGCCACTTATTCTCATTCAACTCTCAAATTTCTCACATCAAAATTGTAAATTTTGATCTAAAAAATCAATCAAACTGCAATGGACTTTTCTTGGAAAAAGTAAATACTTTATTTAAAAATTATCACATGATATTCACAGATGGCTCAAAAACATCGCCCACTGTAGGGGTACGGAGTTTACTCCCCCAATTACTTCTCTATCTGTGTCCAACTCCCAAATTTCTTCTTAATCTTCTCTGACGAAATATATGCAATTTATATGGCCTTGGAAAAAATTGCAGAGCTAAACCTTAGCAATGTCATAATCTTTTCTAATTCTCAAAGCGCCATAATGGCTATCACACAAAGATCATTTTCTTTATCATCAGACTCGACTATCCTAAAAATCAGAAAAATGTACTATCAATTATCCATTCAAAACAAAGACAAACGATTTGCATGGATTTCAAGCTACCAGGGCATCACGGGCAAAGAGAGAGCAGATGCCTTAGCCAATTTGGGGAGAAGTGTGACAAGAGCCACATTTCCTCCTGGACACAACAAGGATGTCATTAACTCAAAGTTTTGAAGAATGGTGTGACTTATTTGAAAAAATTGGAAAGTGCAAAGGAGTTATATATGCCCAATTCACAAAAAAGCTTAAAAAGTCTCCTTGGTTCCAAGAATATACCGATACAATGAGAGCAAATCACTGCTTAACAAGGTCCTACCTAAATAGACTGAAAATGATTTTCAGTGACTTGTGCCATTGTGGACAGAGTCAGGACTTATAGCATATCGTCGGCCTAATTTTTAAACCTCGTAAGTCAACAATTTTGTGAAATTTAGATTTTGTCATAATGCAACGTAATAATTATGATATCTACGATATTTTAAAACCTTGTAACTCTCGCCCGAATATTGCGACATCTATGTGTTATTATTTGAAGCTCGTATGTCGGCAATGTAATTCGATCATATTAAATCCTCGTAAGTCATTAGTTCAGTGTTGCGTACAACCGCCTGTTTGAGTGCTCCGTGAAAAACTTGCAAATCAGGTAAGAAATTGTACTTATATAAGCCAGATTTGTACTATTTTAAGTTATTTTTTAAGTAAGTTCTGTTTGTGGTAATTATTTAATGGGTTTACAATAATATTACAATGATAATAAACCGATTAATTTCTCTTTTGAGATACGAGTTTTTAAAATTCATGAAAAGTTATAAACACATTAAAAACATCAGACCTCGCATTAGACTTACGGGTATTTAACAATTTTTTCCATACATTAAAGTACCTATTTGTCTTTTAGCAAAATGTCTTTACGCACGCAAAAAATAATGCAAATGGCATCAAACGATAATATGGCTAGTACGAATTTTAATAAACCGTCTCAACATTTAAACATGTTCATCTCTAATGAGAACACTGCAACCTCAAATAACATTGAAGAAAGCTTACCGGTTTCCGATGCATCACTACTTCAATATGCAATGAATGTAGAAAACCAACTTCAGCATGCTTTAAATACGCCCAGTCCCAGTTTTGATAGCAATGTAATGTCTAGTACAATTATTTTTGAAAATGTTAATAAAAACAGTGTCGATGTTGAAGAAGAATGCAATGATATAGCAGATCCTAACGAACAATTAAAAGACCCAGACTGGACAGAACCGGAAGATCAGCTCAACGCCATAGCTAATGAAAGTGACAGCGATTTAGAACAGTTTGAAGACGAAACTGACATTGATGTAACACCTAACACAAGAAATAAAAGCAGTATTGAAAACGCAGAAAATATGGATGAACCTGACACTGCAATCAAAGATGCCCCAAGAAAAGCGAGGAAAAAAAGAAGACATGTGAATAATAAAGAATGGGACGTTAATGTGCAAAAATTTAAACGTAGCAAAGGAGAAGAATACAAAGGGCTGAATAGGGAGGAAGGAAAATGGACTTTCAACAAAAAACGAAATGCAAGACAATTGAAGCCATCATGTCTTTGTAAACAGAGTAGACAAAAATCAAAGTTAAATTGTAATTTATTAACAGAGAAAGACAGACAAGTTATTTTTCAAAATTTTTGGAGTAAATCTTGGGCTGAAAAGAAAGAGTATGTTAGAAGTTTAGTTGATCTTGGGCCAGTAAAACAAAGAAAAACAGAAGCGCAAGTATCTCGTAGGAAAAATTCTCTATATTTTATAAGGTAAGTTAGTTAAACCTTAAGCAAAGCAAAATTCTAATTCGTTTTGGTTTTTACAGGTTGCTAGAGGTGCTAGGTTTCGGGTCTGTAAAACTCAATTTTTGAATACCCTTTGCATAGGGGAGTGGTCAGTATTAAGTTGGGTGAAAAGTAACCAAGGGAATCCAGATGAAGAAGTAGAGAAATTGACGAATGAAATGAACAAAGAAGCAAAAAATGATGTAGTCGAAAGAAAAAATAATTTGACTGTTAAACCAAAAAGAAATCATGTCAAGAAAATCGAAATGGACTATTTGCGTGATTTTTTAAACAGTCTTCCGAATCTAGAATCACACTATTGTCGCGCGACATCTAGCAAGAAGTACTTAGAACCCATTTGGACGTCAAAAAATCAACTATATAGTTTTTACAAAGAAGAATGTAGTAGGGTAGGAATATATGCAGTATCTGATGCTTCGTTTAGTCATGTGTTCTCCGATTTGAATTATAGTTTGTTTCGCCCAAAAAAAGATCAGTGCGACACATGCATTGGTTTTAAAATTGGTAACATCGATGAAATAGTTTTTAATGCACATATGAAACGAAAGGATGCTGCTCGAAATACCAAAAACCAAGATAAGGAAGAAAAAAAATGGGTGTTTACTATGGATTTGCAAAGTGTACTCATGGCTCCATTAACTAAGGCATCGGCAATGTATTATAAAAGTAAGCTTGTGGTGCATAACTTCACGATTTTCAATTTAAAGAATCTCGATGGCCACTGCTATTTGTGGCACGAATGTCAAGGTGGTTTGACTGCAAATGAGTTCGCTTCCATTCTTCACTCTTTTATTTTCGATCTTCATACTGAGGACGGAGATGAAGTGACATTTTATAGCGACGGTTGTATTTACCAAAACCGCAATGCGATTATAAGTAACACCCTTTTGTTCTGCAGTATGAAAAAGAAAATTACGATTATTCAAAACTACTTAGAAAAAGGACATACTCAGATTGAGTGTGACTCCATGCACTCAGTTATTGAACAAAAACTTCGCAATACGGATATTTACACTCCAGCTGGGTATGTTTCTATTTGTAAATCTGCTAGAAATAAACCCAGACCCTATAATGTGAATTATCTTAGTTATGATTTTTTTAAAAAGATGTCTGATCTTTCTTTTTACACTACCATACGACCTGGGTTTAAAAAAGGTGACCCCGTGGTTACCGATATTAGTTGTCTAAAATATAATACATCTGGAATAATCGAATATAAGCTTAATTATAGTGACGAATGGACAGTATTGCCTAAAAGGAGAAAGGATAAAGAATGCTCAGTAAATGTTAATATGCCTAATCTTTATAAAGAGCCTTTAAAAATAGATAGAAAAAAATTTGATAATTTGCAGAAATTAAAGAGTGTTCTTGACCAAGATTATCATTTTTTTTATGACCAGCTTCCACATAAAGACACATAATTTGTACCATTTTGAAAACCTTTTCTTTTGTTAACATTTTAGAAAAAATATATTATTTTAATTATATTTTTCATTAGTTTATAGTGTAAGTGTATGTAACCTGTTTTAAGATTCATTTCTATTAAAACCTCGTAAGTCCTTTATTAAAAACATTTTTCAAAATTTTTGCAAAACCTATTAATTTAAAGTTTTTTTGAACATTAATAAATTTATTTTAAGGTATAGTGTCTGACGATTTGACTTAAATTTTGTAAGGAGTGGTTTTTTCGCTCCCCTGTAAAATTATGCAAATTTGAGTTACGGGGATTTAAAATTAGGCCGACGATATTTTAATCTCATGTTTAACGAATCAACACAGTATAGAAGTTCTACATAAATCCTTAAAGATTCCAAAAAATATATACGATCCCTTCTCAGTGTTCGAT